GAAGCATTTTCCAATTCTAAACCTTACATTGCAGCCTGTTGTTGTAAAAAGAAAGCTTTCAATCTACAATCTCTACATCCTGAAGCACCTTTCAAACAGTACACTGTTTACTTTCTTGTCTTTCACAGACAAGGCACTGTTGTTAAGAAGGAACTTGCCCATAGCTGTCGATCTGCTTAAGAGTACTTTTTGATAGCTAAGAAGCAGTCAGCACGGTAACAGTCATTTTGACACTTAGAACCGGATGAAATAGGACAAATGTTACAGAAGGAGAAGGAAAAAGTGGGAACTGCTAAAGGCGCCCTCCAACCACTCGCAAAGACAGTTTAAGGCTTGGTTTGTCGTAGTTAACTAAAACAAATGATAGCAATATAGCAATCGGGCCTTTGGAATTTTGTACTTGTGTGTGAGGTTGGTGGGGGTGGGGGAAAAGTGGTAGGTCGAAAATATGAAAATGTTTCCTTTACCGTATTTTGTAGCATTTGTTATGTCAATAAATCATCCCAACGACTTGGTTTCCCAAAACGTAGAAAGGGAATTACATTTCACCTAACGCCAATAAAGCTGCCGGCTTTTTATGGTCCATTGTGTGCTGGGTGTATTGCCTGGGGCAGGAAGGAAAAAGTAAGCTTTGAAGTTGAAGTAAGAAAATACCTCTTTATCGATCCATTCTCGGAGAAGCAGTCCACAACAGCCTGATGACGCACTTTCCTCATCATAAAGTATAACCATTTATACACTGCAAAACAATTCCACATATACACAACATTATTAGTCTGATTCTCAAGTTACATCGATTTTCAGTTGAGTTTGAAATCTTATCTTCTGCGTTTTGAGAAAGAAGCTCACTCTATGACGTAGAATGTCGATGCATCTCGTATAAAGACTGTTACAATATAGAAGCGCACTTTGCAGATAAAACCACACCACTCCCCGTGGTGAGTGAAAAGGGCAAAAAAACATTAATCCCTGATATTATGAGGCCAGGCCCTTTCCATTATATTATAGAAGTAGTTCTAGATATAAAGCTTTAGGTATCGAAATGTTTATAATGGGAAATTCCACCTGCACCATAATTTGGATAGCAACGAAAATGAGGTTCTTTTACCGTTCATATCTACATTATGATTATTACAATAATAAATACAACTGACTAGGCTTTGTCAAAAAGTCAGAAGAGAATACATATTGACCACCCTATTAGTATCGCCGTCTTTTGATCATGATTTACTTGTTGGTAACGCTCATATTTCACAACTGGTTCCTCCGTAAGAATTTACTTTAAAATCCATCAGATTCCTGGTTAGACACTCTTGTTTGCGGCTAGAGACCGCGGTTAAGAGGATTTAATTCTTAGTTCAGACGTAGGTGTAAAATCTAATATGAAATTGGAGTTTAGTTCCCCCCCCTACCCCACCCCCACCCCTTCTTTTAATCTTATTGTTCTAAAATCAACCCACTGCTTTAGGGTGTGCAGTTTTAAACTGAATGTGGGTACACCTAAGATTGCCAGCCAACTTGAATCTGATGGCTTTTGCAGATCGATTTTTTTAGTGTGTGGGGGGGGGCGAAAGAGGTGGGGAAGGTAGGGTGGGAGGGCGGACTACACTTGGGTCCAGTTTAAAAGACTCAGTAAAACCTTTTAACACCTGCAACCTTAAAAGAGGATACACACTTTTTCCTAAGAGTCAGTAGGTAATCAAAAGCTACCTTCCTGCTGTAGGTCTCAGAAGACTTTTTGAGGGGCTCATTCAGAAACCAGTCCGTTCTTCGTTTTAAGTCCACTCTGAATGAAAACGATAATACTGTCAACAGTTTTCTGTTTCAATTTTTATATCCGAGAAAGCCAAGTCTGACCCGCTACTAGTAAATTATCTGAATTAGGTTGAAGAGGGAAAAAATGTTTTACAACAATATTAACCCTTTCACTGCCAAATCTGCTTTGTACTCCTAAAGAACTTTGAAAGATCTCAGGCAAGGCAGAGAAGGGGTTAAGATGGGGAAAAAAGTAAAATGAAGAGTTGGAGGTTTCATATGTCAGAATAAATTTGTGGGAAACAATGTCTATTGATTATCACAAGGGCAGAAAGACAGAAAGGAAAGAGGGTAGGGGGTCTTTTAGTTCTGAGTCAATGAAGCAAGTGTGAGTGCAAATATGTTCGCTTACGTGATTACGCTTCTGTTAGCGCACGAGTGTATGCCAGATTGTTCTTTCTTTTGTTTGGGGTTGGGGG